AATAAATAAATCTAAAAAAGATACTGGAACCCGAACATAACTATAAAATTCCAGAAACATTTAGCTCGTTATGTGGTAAAGAAAGCATTGTGGTGAGGACCAGAGAAATGCAGAACCCACTGCTGGCCATGTGCAGATGTTTTATCCAGAAATTAGTCAAGGTTTAAACAAGCACGGATGCCCACATAACTGATTTCCCACTCCCATTTTTCTCTGTGTAGTTTATATATTTTAATTTTTTTAGTTATTTAAGATGCAGATAGAGAGTGAGTGAGCTCCTGTCCTCTGGTTCACTCTCCAAATGCTCTCGATGACTAGGGCTGGGCCAAGCCAAAGCTGGGTCTGGGAACTCATTTTAAGTCTCCCAAGTGGGTAGCAGGAACCTAATTACTTAAGGCCTCACCTCTGCCTCCCAGGTCTCACATTAGTAAGAAGCCAGAGTCAGGAACCGAGGCAGGCATCAAACTAGGGCGTTCTAATGTGGGGCACAGGCATCTTCACCAGCATCGTATTTGCTGGGCCAGACACCCACCCGAGTTTGTGTAGCTGAGTGAGATGGGAGCAGAGATTGGGGGTGAAGGTGAGGGGGTCTTGCTTTCTCACAGTTTTCTACGGAATGCAGACTTCATGGCGTATTATGTGCTATGAGTCTGAGCATTCTCTTGTGACGTGGATTCCTGAATGGAGACCCATCCTCAAAAGGACAGAGCTGATCTGGCCACCTCCATTTCCCCTGACCTCCCCTGTTAGAGGTGCTGCAGTTCCACAGGGTGACACCTTAGCCAAGCTTGGTGTGACGTCACAGGACTACTGTAGAAGGAGAGAGGAATGGAGGGAGAGTGAGAGGGAGGGAGGGAGGGAGGGAGGGAGGGAGGGAGGGAGGGAGGAAGGAGGGGAGGGAGGGAGGCAGGGAGGGAGGGAGGACTGATCTTAAAATGCAGCCTAGTAGACAACTTGGTAACACTGTTTGAGAGCTCTGTGTACAAGCATACCCTAGCTTGGCCTGCAGTAGATTTTCAGCCACAGTAGCACGCCCAGCATTGTCACAGGTCAACTGCTCTGTAGGCTGAGGTGAGAAAGTATTTATGCACTGTCCTTTACGTTGCTATGGGGAAATGGTAGCTCAGTTGCTGGACTGTTTGTCAACAGTCAAGGTTTTTTAAGCACTTTTAGTAAGAGTTTCCCTTGCCATCCATTGGTTTGGGGGTGGGGGAGCTTTGAAGCTGAGGTTAGGGTTAAAGAGTCCAAGAAATACATTCTTCTCCGTGTTGGTGAATCGACTTTGAAATCGGAAGGGCTCTTCTCTTTCTCGTGGTGAGCACAGGGAGCTGCAGAGGGATATTTTTAATTAAAAGCTGAGCGTTCTCATATTCTGAGTTTTCTTGACTTCTTCAAAACATGTTCTGAAGACAAATGGCAGTTTCTTCCCAGGATAGTCCATTCGCCAACACAAATGCTAACATGTATTTATTATAAGACAATATGTTTGCATATACTTCCAAAAGTCAGGTCCTTTTAGCCTACTGTATCCCCATGTATCTTGGGTCTTCTGTAGAGAGGCCAGGCTCTCTCACTAAGGAGGCTTCTCCCCTCACCCCATTACACTTAGCAATGTGGGTGGGACTCTGAGCTCTGAGACAGGATGCTGGGAGACCATGGTGCCACCTCAAAAGGGAAACCTGACGTGTCTCTGTTTTCTCAATGACTGAAAGACAAAGAACAGTGATAACCTCTTAGTTCCATTGGCTGCATTAGGCCCCGCGTTGTGAAGTAGTGGGAGAAGCTGCTGTTTGCAACATCAGCATCCCGTATCGGAGAGATGGTTTGAGTCCTGGCTGCTCTACTTCCAACCCAGCTCCCTGCTAATGTGCCTAGGAAAGCAACAGAGGATGGCCCTAGTAACTGGGTCCCTGCCACCCAAATGGGAGACCAGGATGGAGTTTCTGGCTCCTGGTTTAGGCCTGGCCCAGCCTCAGCTTTTGTGGCCAGTTAGGGGTTGATCCATATGCCCTGCCTCCCTCCCTCCCTCTCTCTCTCTCTCTCTCTCCCTCTCCCCTCCTCTCCACCCCATATCTCTGTCTCTGTGTCTGTGTCTCTGCCTTTCAAGTAAATAAATAAGTATTTTTTAAAAGTAAAGAAACCAAGCTGTTGGCCTGCGTGGGCCTTGACCCTCCGAGCTCCGCATCAGCTGTGTCTCTCCGGGAGGAAGACTGCCTTCCACCTTAACGTGAGAGCGTGACTTTGGACTCGTGTTTGTCTTTCTGCATGTTAAGCACAGATGCCATATCACGTCTCCATCTGCAGCAGCAAACCCCTCTCTCTTCCTGCCTCCCCCTCCCTCCACCATCGTGTTTGCCTAGGTAGGGACAGCTCTTGCTGGGGCTGTGATTCAGTTTCCGCTGGGGGGCATTTGCTGCATCAGCGCCATCCACCTGTCCCATATGGCACAGCCCCTAACAGACCAAGAGCAGCTCATCGACTCTCAGAGGACCGTCCTCTCATCAGGATGAGCCAGCAGTCCCTGGGATGAGTCTCCAGTGTGACTGCCATGGTGCCTCCGTCCCTGGGATGAGTCTCCAGTGTGACTCCCATGATGCCTCCATCCCTGGGATGAGTCTCCAGTGTGACTGCCATGATGCCTCCGTCCCTGGGATGAGTCTCCAGTGTGACTCCCATGATGCCTCCGTCCCTGGGATGAGTCTCCAGTGTGACTGCCATGGTGCCTCCATCCCTGGGATGAGTCTCCAGTGTGACTGCCATGGTGCCTCCATCCCTGGGATGAGTCTCCAGTGTGACTGCCATGGTGCCTCCATCCCTGGGATGAGTCTCCAGTGTGACTGCCATGATGCCTCCGTCCCTGGGGTGTCTCCAGTGTGACTCCCATGATGCCTCCGTCCCTGGAGATGAGTCTCCAGTGTGACTGCCATGATGCCTCCGTCCCTGGGATGAGTCTCCAGTGTGACTCCCATGATGCCTCCGTCCCTGGGATGAGTCTCCAGTGTGACTGCCATGGTGCCTCCGTCCCTGGGATGAGTCTCCAGTGTGACTGCCATGGTGCCTCTGTCCCTGGAGCTCAGTGGGACTTGCTCAGTTCTTCTGGAGTCCCAGTTCTGTCGCTCTATCAGTACCGATGGATCATTCCATTCCTTTCTAGCTTTTCTCCCCTCTGCTTCCCAGTCACCTTTCTTTCTTCACTCTTCTGTTTCTACCTCCGTCCTTTCATGAACACATGAAGGTGTTGAGTGTCAGCCAGGCCTTGTTTCCTACTTCGTTCCTAGTGTCCCTGCTCCTGAAGCCCTCATGATCTCCAGGAGGTTTTTCAGGCTTGGAGGAAAAGACAAAACAAAAACACGGGAATCGGACCTGCATTTGCTTTCTGGAAACTACAGCCCCAGATTCCTTTTCCAGATTGTTGGCTACTGTTTGCCATCCTCTTTGACTCTTACACCTCCTTTGCCGTGTGTAGAGTGTGGTGATGCCACCATACAGTAAGATGGTGTTTCCAAGGATAGGTATTTGGTCTAGGGTTGAAACACCTGTGTCCCACATGAGCGTGCATGAACCTGAGTCACATCTCGGCACCTGACTCCAGCTTCCTGTTGGTGCAGATGCTGGGAGGCAGGAGGCAGTGGTTCCAGTAGCGGAGTCCCTGCCGTGTACATGGGAAACCTGGAATGCGTACCCAGCATCCAGCTTCGGCGTGGCCTAACCCTGGCCATTGCAGGCACTTGGGGAGTAAACCAATGGATGCGAGCACTAGCTCTCCTGGGTGTGCACATGTTCTCCCCCTCCCCCACTCCCTGCCTCTCAGGGAAGTTGGTTTAAAAGATGGTGTTTTCTGTCCTGCGCATTCTGAGCTTGTTTCTCTTCCTGTGTTCAACTCAAGCGAGCGCACCTGTATCAGGAGGCGCCCAGTGACTCCCTTTGCATAGTGTCCTGAAGGTCAAGTCTGTACCAGCACAGGTATACCTGAAGGTGGCTGGCCAATGGGAAACTTCACGCTCTGCTTCTGGCAGAGGGACTGGCAGGGGAGGAAGATGTGGGGGGGAACCTCTCATCCTAGAGTCTAAATTTGGGCTTAGTAGACTGACTATTGGTTTTCAACAGCCCTTTCATCTACACAGTGTGTCCTGCTGTATTTAACCATGTTCACAGTCATTTCTTCCTCCCTATAACCTGTACATGGAGACTGTTTCCTTCATGTTTGTTTGTTTTCCTCGTTTCGCTCCATTTCATGTGTAGTATTAAAGATCGAAGGGAAATGTGGCTCACCATGGGGCTAAAGCATGCTTTGGTATGGAGCAGGAGATTGGGGAAATCCCTCTATTTGTAGAAGTATAGAGGCTTATTCAATCACTTCAAATATTAGCATAGATATTTGTAGAGTTGTATCCGAATTCCTTTTGAGTATCTGATGGTCTTTTAAATATTAACATCATTCTGAGAGCCTACAAGTTAGTTTTAAGATACTATAAAGTAAGCAGTAGATAGCTTGGACCTTTGTGTTAAACTCATGCTTTAACTTTTTAAAAATTTGACCTAATAAGATTATGGGACTTCGGTGATTCACGAATGAGAACTGAATTTGATGTAAAACTGCACTGACTTTGTATTCTTAACCTACTTTGTTTTTCCCTGTTTATGTTTAGATGAATGCCCCATCTTGATACTTGGTATATGCTCATATTTTTGGGTGTCTGTTTGAAGGGTTCTGTTTTGTTTTGTTTCTCCTTTAATTGGCTGCACAGGAAGATCCATCTTGCATTGTGAGTTTAGCAGTTTTTTTCGTCCTCTGCCGCACACCCCATTGTCTGTGCACACACAGCATGGCCAGCGTCACGTCTGCCTCCTGAATGGCGCCACCGCTCCAAACACAAACAGCCCGTCCACCCTGAGCATGCCCATGTGGTCAGCATCCGGGCAGGGACGGCGAGTGGAGGAGTCCGCAGTCTCCTGGGGCACTAAACCCTTTCCTTCTCCTGTTGGCTTCCTCCTTCCAGATACTGCAACGAGCATCTGCTGTGCCCCCCCCACATGTTCTGGACGGGCTGGGGTCCTTGGGAACGGTGCACAGCCCAGTGCGGGGGCGGCATACAAGCACGTCGCAGGACCTGCGAGAACGGGCCCGACTGCGCAGGCTGCAGCGTGGTGAGTAGCCTCCTCCTCATGCCCAGCCCACGACACAGAGCAGGGGTCCAGACTCAATGTGCACTAAATGTTTTGCACACACTAGGTGTTCTGCAGGCTTGATATGCTACATGCCTTTGTGCACACAGTAGGTGCTCGGCACACACTAAACGCCCTGCAGGGACTAAAGGTTCTGTGGTCGTGGCAGTTCCGGGCACTGGATGCTCTGCACACACTGGGTCTCCTGCATCCGCGGGGTTCTGTGATCACGTGTCCGGACACGGAATGCCGAGCTCACGCTGACGCTGTGAGTCAGGCTCTGAGGATCGAGACCGTCTGGAGGAAGTCCTGGAAGTGGAACGTCGCCGAAAGCCTTCTGAACGTAGTGTTCACGTGAGCTAACCGCCCCAGGAGTTTTTCAGCTCTGACGAACTTGAGCCAGCCGAATTCTGCTCACTTGGTTTGCTTTGGCAAAAAGGAGGGAGCTGTCCAGGCCAAGCCGCCACTAAGGCAGAGGTCTGGGGAGGAGCTGTCGCGCTGTGAGGGTCAGGTAACTCGCTGAAGTCAGAGCAAGTCAGCACCAACTCAGGGGACACAGACAACATACGGCTTTGTTTTGCTGTGGCCTCAGCAGTTCCTATTTCTGTTACCCGTCACATACAATTCCACTTGGGTAGCTCTGTCCCAGCGCCCTGCGGCTGCACTCACGCTGCCTCTGTAAGAACAGCTGAGACCTGGGCCTGTTGGGCTCTCGCCTCCCATGCCTGGGAGGGTTTGCTGGACGAGCTTGGCAGAGGAGGCTTGGCTCAGCCTCCTTCCCCTGAGCTTCCCGCTGGTCTCTGCGACACTTGCATCAGTTCCCGGGGCTGAGCTGTGTTCCTGTGCCGCTGTAGAGCTGCCTCTGTGAGATGTGAGAGACGCACGCTCCAGATAGCCTTGGGGAGGTCAGACAGAGGAATGGGGCTAAGAGGTGGTTTGTCAGTTATCACACCAGGCCCACGGAGACTTTTCTTACTGGCTTTGCAATTGGATTTCTTCCTCTTCATGCTGACAAAGATGCTGGAATAGCACTAATGAAATCCGTTACGGTTCCTCCCTGGTCTGACTAAATGAACTTGACGATGAAAAACCCTGGTGTGCAGTTTAGGATGCTGTAGTGCAGATGCTGACATTTGAGGTTGTTTAGTAAGATGTGACAGGTGAATCTGCGAGCGCTCACGTGTTCTTGGAAGCCGACTCAAACGGGCTGCCTTCATTCTTTGCATCCTCTGCTCCTGCTGGCTTGGGGACTGTGTACCCACACGAAGGTTTGTCTCACCTGCTGGGAACCCTGGGGAGGGGTGACCTGAGCCCATCTTGCATCTTTCCTTGCAACACAAAAATCCAGGGGAGACTTCACATCACTCGCTCCCTTCTTGTGCACTGACCCCGATAATTATATTCAAAAATCAGTTTAATGAAAGAAAAACCGCATGACCGTGAGAGTGTATGTGTCTCTTCTGTTGTTATTGGAATGTGTGGGCATGTGTGTGCTTGCAATCTATCTGATTATAAACACAAAACTGGAAAGTCTTTCTAAAATGTCAGTGTACTTGTTGCTTCATTTATTACAGTTTTATGGTTTATGAACCAAATGTCACCTGAGCTTGTAGAAAAATATCATTAGTCTCCAATGAGGCTAATGTCAGTTTCTAGGTGTTTTTGTTTTTCCCACTGAACCTGCTGGCTGGCTGCTTCCAGGAAGGCGATGTGACGACGCAGAGGCAGCCAGGCGCTGCATGGTAGCAGCCAGCATCTGCTTTTCTGCTTCTCTCTCCACGAGGCTTTTCCTGGGCATCCCAGTCGCCGCTTCTGGGAGACAGGAAGGAGCACCAGCACATGCCAGTCCAGGGCCATTGCTGAGGGCAGGGCAGACGTGGCTTCTTTGGGTTGCTCGGGAAATGTATCCTCTCAGTTGAGTTCCCGAGAAGATTGTTTTAAAATGATACTTATTTAGCAAAAGCAACATGAGTGTTTGGTCTTTGTAGTCCACCTGCAGTTCATAGATCTTTGGCTACAAAGCCTATGTGTTCATGAAGAAGGTCTGATTTGTTTTTCTTTTTTGTGCCCATCAGGATAGAAGCTGTCAGTGTAGGTAATTCATTGAATCAGGAGCCATCTCCAGCTGGATGGCAGTGCAGTGGGTTTGTGAGTCTCACGGTAGAGGAGGGGTGACGGTCGCTCCCACCCGGTGCCACTGTGCCAGGTTCTGGCAACAGGTTCGTGTTGAAGTTTTCTGTCCTACTCTTTTTTCTTAATTGCCATTCCCCGGTATGCTGAGCCCCTGCTTGTTAAAAACTGCAGTCTACAAAGTCAGTGCTGTTTCCACAGCAAGCGCTACGTCTGTGCGAAGTATAAGAACCTGCATTTCCTGATTATTACAGCAGCTTAAGAGTTGCTGACTTCATGTTCAAGTACAAGCAGGTTATGTAAACTCAGGAGTCTGTTGTCTCCACTACTTGAAGCTGAATTCTCACCAAGATTTCCTGGCATCTCCTTGTCTTTGGGTAGTCATCAGGCCTTTTGTGGATCTCTGTATACGAGGTTCGGGGCAGACAGTGGCGGCCGTTTGGCGTGAGTTGCCACTTCTCTCCGGGAGACCCTGAGTGTAAAATTCCAAACCTCGAAGGCACGGGAGCCTGCAGCCTTGGCTTAGTTTGTGGGCATGATGACAGACCCAGCAGGACTTGGGCCTGGTGCTGCCTTTTCATTGCGTGAGGTTGAGAGCTGCTTATTGCCTTCTGGGCTTCTGTCTCTGCCTCCACAAAGCACAGGGCTGGGCACTGAAACTGGTGGTTCTGTCACTGGGCCATGAGAGTCCAGCTGCCTGAGGACCATGTTAGCAAATACCGCGCCCTGAGGGCAGAGGGCCCTGATGAGCCTGGAGATCCATCAGTGCTCAAAAACCAGACGTCGCCGGCGCCGCAGCTCATTAGGCTAATCCTCCGCCTTGCGGCGCCGGCACACCGGGCTCTAGTTCTGGTCGGGGCGCCGGATTCTGTCCCGGTTGCCCCTCTTCCAGGCCAGCTCTCTGCTGTGGCCAGGGAGTGCAGTGGAGGATGGCCCAAGTGCTTGGGCCCTGCACCCCATGGGAGACCAGGAGAAGCACCTGGCTCCTGCCTTCGGATCATCCCGGTGCACCGGCCACAGCGCACCAGCCGCAGCGGCCATTGGAGGGTGAACCAACGGCAAAGGAAGACCTTTCTCTCTGTCTCTCTCTCTCACTGTCCGCTCTGCCTGTCAAAAAAAAACGAGCCGTCGACTCTGCATTCCAACCAAGTGCATGTACAACCATAGCAGCCCCTGGGGTCCTCCGGGCTCGCTCCACCCCAAGTCTGCCAGTGTTCCCTGCCCACCTGCGGTGGCCCCATAGGACAGGTGCACAGGAACAACAGCCCCCTCCCACCTCCTGGCTGTGCCTCCAAGCCACCAGGAAACCTGAGGTGCTGTTCCACCCCTCCAGTGGGTGTCTTCAAGTGACATACGGTCACTAGTACCTGACTGACAAAGCCATTTGAAAGACCATATATAGGGGCCGGCGCTGTGGCTCACTTGGTTAATTCTGTGCCGGCATTACATATGGGCGCCAGGTTCTAGTCCCGATTGCTCCTCTTGCAGTCCAGCTCTCTGCTGTGGCCCGGGAGTGCAGTGGAAGATGGCCCAAGTGCTTGGGCCCCTGTACCCACATGGGAGACCAGGAAGAAGCACCTGGTTCCTGGCTTCGGATCGGTGCAGCGCCGGCCATAGCAGCCATTTGGGGGGTGAGCCAATGGAAGGAAGACCTTTCTCTCTGTCTGTCTCTCTCTCTCACTGTCTATAACTCTACCTGTCAAATTAATAAAAAAAAAAAAGACCACATATAATACATGATGTCCATATATGGGAGTGCTTCAGAAAGTTTTTGAGAAATGGAATTAAAAGATATTTTATTGTGAAAGAAATTGAAACCCATGCATCATGCTCTATCCTGGCCCAATGTCAGATCTGAGTGTTCATAAAGTAGAAATTATCACCATCATTATTAGCATCAGTGATTTTAAGAAAAATAAAAGTTCTACCCTTAAATACAATAACAAGTACAAGCTACATATTTTATTACATTTTAAATTTCTTTACATTAATATTTTTATTAATGTATAGATATTATTTTGTATTAATATACCTCATTAAGTCAAATGAATCAATTGCATGTTATATTGTTACATTTATATTAATAAGTATAGTAATTATAGTAATACACATATGTTGATATAATGATATTATGGTAACAATTTTGTTTCTATTATATTGACATATATTAATAGAATATGTTTATATTAATTATCTTTCAATATTGGTTTCATTTTTACCTTATTTTGAGAATAGCCAATAATCACAATGGTATTTGTTAAATCGGGTCTTACAAATCCTAACATAAAATGTATTGTCAAATTAAAACTTTCATTATGATTGCATATATTAAATTAGAGCTATACAAACTGGACTTATTATTTAGGCTTGTTATGACATCCTGAATTCTGTGTTACACAATAAAACCACCTTTGTCGGGGACCTACTGTGTGCCGTGCACTCTACTGGGAGTCATTAAAATGCTTCATGTTCCTTCTCCACACATCCCCACAAGGCACTTTTCAATGTTGCTTCTACTTGAAGATGGTAAAACTTTAGTTGAGGAAGATTAATGAACCTGTCCAGTAGTGAGTTGCTAGTGGGGGACTGGACCAGAATTTGAGAACTGGGCACAAGTAAAATTTAATGGCTCAGCTCCATTGGCATATGTATTTGGAGAGAAAATGTGCCCGACATTCCTTCACCCCCTTTTAGGACCCAGTGTAGTCGTTAAAAGAATGAGTTTTGTGTCTTCCTGTAGCACTTCTCTTGTCCATTAGCACCCTTGGCTTTCATAACAGTATGAGCTTTTTCTTTCCATTAAGAGATTATCTTGAGCATGAAAATTACTTGAAAACAAACTCAAAGCACAA